AGAGAGAGAGAGAGATTACATGCTTGCGTGCATGGGAGAATATGAAGTTCCGTATGGATGCGTCCTGAATCGTAATGCATTTAAATTGCTCATCGTGGATCCTCCGTGAATTTCTGCCTGATGATACGGAGGAAGATTAACATTTCCTAAATTACCATTTATAAATCCATGGCAGGTAGATGTTTGCATAGAGGTGTAATGCTGCGACGATCTCCAATACTCGCTATAGGGGTATTGCGTCACTTGAGGGGTTTGCAAAATCTCCGAATTATTTTCCTGCGTATGCGTTATTCTGATAGGTCGTAAAGGTAAAGTAGTTTCTACTTCTCTGCTAGTGGAGACACCTCGATTAATAGCAGAACTTCTTTCATTCCGACGAAACTTGGCGCGTCTATTTTGAAACCATACCTAAAATGAAAAATTTTAATTATTTATCAACAAATTTATATTTATAAAAATTATTATTTCCATTTATTAAGATTAAAGATTGATAGAATAGGAGAATATGAATATAATAGTTTTCGATTCGTGTTTTATAATAGATAATAGAGAATCAAAGTTTATGCAAATTTTATAGAAAATAGAAGAACAAACGAACATAAGAAGGGACGTGGCAAGCAAAGGCTGGATAGCGTGACGACTTCTGGCAACCGTACAGTTCACGGCAGACAGAGAAGACGGAGATGAGGAACTTAACAGCAGCAGTGGATGGATCGACACGAGCAACGAAAAGTCTGCTTTCTGCACAATCGTGTAACAGTCATCGCACACGTGCTAGATACGAGACGTATCATACAGCATGCGGTACGTCGTATGCCAAGCACAGATGTCGCTGGAACGACACAACTATCCTGCCAAGCTAATCATAGCTCCTTGCCCCTGACAACCTGTCTCCTCTGATTTTCTGCTTAGCTATCCGCGGCGACCTCCATCCTCTTTCCTTCTTTTTTCTCTTTTACTTCTTTTCTTTTCTGCACCTCTGTCTGCCTGCCTGCCTTCCTTCCTTCTTTCTAACGTTAGCCACCATAACCCAAGAAACATATGTGAACTTGGCCCACCAGCGATACGATACTTTTTCCCTTTTACATATTCATCGCGATCTTTCTTCTATTTCACGAAGTAAGTAACATTTTTGAACATTGTTTCATTTAATTATTGCGACGTTACCTGTACTCTGGCTTCCGATAAAGAGACACGTGTTGCAAGTTCTTCTCGAACAAAAGCGTCTGGATAATGCGTCCTTTCAAACACCCTTTCCAAAGCGGCTAATTGTTCTGCTGAGAATGTTGTTCTACTTCTCCTGGGTCTTCTACATGCAGGTGCCGTAGAAGTTTCATTACATTCTATAAAACACACGTATGTACATTATTTACCACAACTACTTCAGCCTGTGAAATAATTCGCGATATCGTGTGAACGAAAATGAAAATTCAATTGAAATATTTCAAGATGCCGCTCACGATAAGGAAGTAACGTTTCCAAAACATAAAAAGCAAAGATGAGAAGCAGTACAGACGTAGCTATTCTTGAATGACTCCACTGTGTTCGAGCGTTCATCAAAGCGGTATAATGCGAACAGCATGACTGGAAACGCGCGATTTCGATCGATAAAATCAAACTCATCGTGGATCGTGCGTGGATGGAAACGTGGAAACACATCAAGCGTGTATATTCCAACTTACGAAACGCGCGATCTCGAATTTTATTCAATTTTATTCTTACGTAAATGTTTATATAAAATAATTTGTTTGTAAGTTTCCAGAATTCTTACCTAAGGAGTTAGTTGGCGTTGATAATAAGCGTGAGACCGTGAAATCTTGTGGCGTATGAGGATTCGTAATCTGTGAAACTATTACGCTGTTGTTTTCTACTTGTTCCGAATTTCCACACAACATTGTTTCGTTTAAAAAATAAATCTCTTTAATAGAGTGGCAACGAACAAGTTTTAATCGAAAAAATGATTTAGAAATTTCGTTTTTCATATATAAAAATATTTCTTACTCTTGAAGTAATTATTCTTAATCACTTTGAGATATTTGAGAAGTAAATATACGCGATATAGTCATTGAGGTATTCAATAAATCGTAAGATGACATTTCTTCATTCTGCACAAATGACGTAGTAATTCAAACTTTACGCCACGTGTTGATCGACACTGCTTCGTTCAACGTATTTGAAATTATTCGAAAAACATTTTATATGTATATTTTTTTAAAAAATATTATAAAGTTTGATTTTTTAATATTGTTCTGTATACCTTAAATTTGAGTTGTTTAATAGTCACTAATATTCCAATTGGAAGAATCTGATATGATTTTTTAACATTACCAATTTTTATACCAATTTTTACACGTCAATGTGAATTTTATTGCGTTGAATTTTTATCTAGTATGCTATCCACGACTAGAATCAAGGTTATAATTCGTTTCACTTTTTATAAGGCTCGCAAGAAGGGGTAATTTAGGTAGAAGTACGTGCCCCTTTCTTTTTCCGTATCGAACGTCAATCAAAAATATGTAAAACAGATAAGATAAAAAAAGAACCGTATTTGGCTCAATTATCTCGTATTATGCGAACGTCAATTTTCTCTCGTAGGATCGGCGTTTACCTACTTTAAATCGATTCTTTATGCTAACATAGCATAGTCATTCTTTGTCGACGAGTATGTATCTTCTTTGCAGTTTCATAAATCAATCAAATTGTTTCGAACGTTTTACGATTTTCTCACGGGTTGCAATGACTATTCTATTTCTATCGTTTCCAAAATATCTTCGGTATAAACGTGATTTGTACAAAATGGCGATACCGTCCAAGAAGATATCTCTCTCTCTCTCTGTAACAGGCACTCTACGCGAAGAAGTTCGTTTTAAAGTTGTAACGTTCTATCTATAACAAGATTTATTTTCAGGGACGTTGTCCTCAAAGGATTGTCTTGCATGCGAAATAAAATTACAAATATACATGTATATATGTACATATATATATATATATATACATGCATCGATCACGCACTATATTGTCGAAACATCTTCGATCAAGTGGCTCCGTTCAAGTTCAAATGTTGGTATCATCCGAAACGCGCGTAAATCACAACTAGTCGATCGATTTTGTCGGAAGATCGTTTCGAAAACCGTGAAACGAAGCCATCGCATTAGTTGATGCGGCGAGATGCCAACTGACTTGGCCGAGTTAAAACGTACTTGAGGATCCTCCTCAGCCTCTTCATTTGTCTCTCCTCTTCGTTCTTTCCTCCCTCTTGTGTTTCTCTCGCTTTATCCCTCTCTTCGTCTCTTATTCTGCCTCTCGTTCTTCCTTTTACGAAGGGAGACACGCATGCAGGAGAGGAGAGAAATAGAGCATTTCAAGAGTAGGTGGAGATTTCCTTGGCAAGCTCCACCTTCATTAGATCCTCATTGGTTTCTAAACGATAGCACGGCGGCTTTCCGGTGTTTTCTGGATACAACCCTTCACCGGTAAAGGAATTTAGGCGTGCGTGGTCATTCAAAAATTTGATCATCATCCATTTTATTTCCATAAGACGATCCATGTGACGCTTTGGAAAATCGAAAAACGAATTTTCTTTCTTCTCATATCGATATCGTTTGCGATTTGTTTCGAAAAGAAAAAAGTCACTCTGGAGATTTTCAAAGGATTCTCCTTTGGTGAGCTATGCTTTAAAACAATTTAATTGCTATTGTATTACTCTTTTTTATTGAAATATATTTTTCTTTTTTAAATAAAATATATTTATCTAGTATTTAATGATTTTTAAAAGTAAAAAAAAAAAAAATAATTGAAACATTAACGATATCAAAAGTAAGAGGATGGTAGATCTATAAGATCTATAAGATTCTATAAAACTATTTCCAAAATTATTTTGGAAGATGAATAAGATATTGACATACTTTCATAACTTGCCAATAGAAACATTGAAGGCCGCAGTATTGGAATATTAAAATAAATATAATAATAATTTTATGGTGAATTCGTAAACTTCGATTGTCAAATCTCAAGTTTATTTTTCAGTTTTTTTTTTTTTTTCTCTAAAAAAAGAATTATAATTATCAATTTCATGTTAGATTCATTATAAGAGTTAAACACGAGATACATTTATTTTGATTTATAAGAAATGGATAAATGAGAGGCGCCGGCGTTACGGTGGTTTCGATTTTCAGGGACACGCTAAACCACGGTTCTTTATGTCCCGGAACATTGGTCTTCTTCATAGTTGCGGCTTGACTCTCGTTACACAAGGGTGTCGAGTAACGATTTCGCCCTAACCGTGGGCTCTCCATCCTTCCTCTCTTTTATTTTCCTCGAAAATATAACGGGTACGCGTTAACAGTTCTCTCAATTCGAGTTAATTGAATCACGATGCTTCAATATTTTCGACAACAATGTCAATAACAATGTCAAAAACGATCGTTAAATTTTCAGAAAAATAGAAAGATATTTCAATTTTTTCAGATCAATTTGAATTTTCAGATAAGAAAATTTTCGATAAATCATTGTCTCTCTCTCTTTTTTTTTTTTTTTAAGCCAATTTCAAATCTCGCAACGTAATCTGAACTCTTTCCAAGTTCTTTTGACGACGTCCGACGGCAACCGCGTTAAAAAATAGTTATATAATTCGTGAAACGAATCAAGACGCTCGAGTTATTCGATACTTGAAATCTTCTAACCGGTAAAAAGAATTTGAAAAGAAAGAAAGAAGACAAAGAAAAAATTTATCGAGAAAAAATTCTTCGAAAGATATTACGTTAATATATTTCCAATATTTTTTGAACAATAGAGAACAAAACATTGATATACAGAATTATCGTTTATTATTTATTATATACATATTTACTTTTTCATCTCATTTCATTTTCGAATTTAAACAATTTATAACTTAATAAAATAAATCTCAATCGAAATCTTTCTGCGTATCAATTTTTATGCTTGCTTTGCCCTCCAAATATACGAATGTATATCTATTCCGTCGTAGAATCATCCCCGGCAAACAATTATATTCCCGGCGATTTTATTTATACGAGGCTTTTACGAGCGCAGTCACTCTTGCTGTCAACTGTGTTGGCTCAATAAAACGCGGCCATGCATCCGTCGTTTCCTCGCTGCCCACTTTCGACATTCCCTTGAAACCGAATTTTTCTCGAAATAAAACGGGAAAGTACTTGCATCGTGTATTAATCTTCAAAGATGTTATCGCGAACATTTTATCTCATTTAAATTAAAAAAGCAGCGTTGTTGTCCCCTTAATTTTCTTGTATTAGAATTTTATCTCTTCGAACAAATTCTCAGAAGGAATATATCAATCGTAACATAAAGGAAAATTTATACTATTTCAACTTCTGATAATAAATTATTATTTCACCACTATCTATCTATCTCTAATTTTTCATCGATCAATTAATAATTTTATCTTACGAGTAATTTTAATTTTAATCATTGATGTTATGATCCAATAATCGAGAGAAGACCCATCAAGCTCTAATTACCTGAACACCTAACCTTGCTTAACTTGAACGAATTTCTTCAAGTTAAAGCGAGAAAGGAGAAAGGAGGGGCGAGGAACGAAGGAATTTGTCTGGAGAAGGGCAATAAGACGGCCGGATAGTTCGTTTTTGGTGTTCCAGCCGCTATGAGACGGACGGGTGCGTCGCGACGTGGTGACACGTACACGTCGTACGTCGCGCGCCGCCCAACGAAAATTATGAGCCGAGTCTGGACACACCACCGTCTGTCTTTGTCGTCCTCTTTATCTTGTAAGCGAGACACGCTCGCCTTTGTCCCTCTCTCTTTTGCTCTTTTATTTTTCCTCGCGCCACGGAGTTTACGGATTCGCGAAAGAATTTTCGCAAGATCCCTTCTTTTCTGTCGCATCCTCTTAAGCGTCGCGCGACGATAAATGACCCTTAAGAAGATTCTTTCTTCCTTGGCAATGGAAATTGGCTTCTTCCCTCGAGAAGAGATGTTTTGCATCGATGGGAATAACGCTGATGTGTGATTTTCAATAACTTGAGTTTAGAAATTCGTCGAAAGAGTAGAAATTATTTATACAGTGAAAATACAGATTTCTTGTCTTGAAAATAATTGATGATGAATATAAGAATATAAGTAGACTTGAAAGAATTGAATTGGGTTTTGAATGAATTTTAAAACTTTTAGAAGCAATAATGTATTATAAACAAGTATCGAAATTTTTGTAACAAGATAAGTATCCATCGATGAGAAATCGATTCTTCTTAATATTCGTGTCTCTGGAAAAAACTAACGACTCGATCCACTTTTATTACAAATGCGTTAATTTTAGGAGATCGTGAGAGATCTCGGCATGCGTCAGCACTGATCAATGTCCGACAGTGTAACGTGCAGAGGGGGTTCACCGGAATCACAGATGCAGTTTTGACCACCGTGACAGTGATCGTTGCTTGACAACTCTCGAAATAGGTTCCATATGTATTCTTTGGAGAATGTCCTCGCGTATTTTCCATAGATTTCCACTGCTCTCTTTTCTCTTCTTCTTCCTCGTTTGCCCATTGATACTCCGTCAATCTTCATAAATTTCTTATTACACGTATCATACACGTGTGCATCTAAATATTTCGATTACGATGATGGTATAAATTATATTTGAGTTTGATACTTTTTTGATTTCCGTGCTTTTCATTTATTTTAGTTTCCTAGTAAGTTCATAGGCCCTTTGTACTTTGATACATTTCTATTCAAAATTAATCTTTCGATCACCAGCTTATTTTTATAATATACAATCGTATAAAATTAGATAAATTTGAATCTATTATCATTTCCACGAAATGGGGGGGGGGGATAATTTTTTGAAAGACTTTCAAAATTTTTGTATAATCTTTATAAATCTACGAAACGTCATTTATATTTCATTTGGATTTTACAAAAATTCGTTTCGCTTTAATCGTACAGGAAAAAAAAGTAAAAAACTCTTTATCCCCTCAGAAGAATCGCCACAAGCAAAAACTGTGTGAATTTACGATGATTATCTAACAACTAACTTCCGAATATCTTCTTTCAAATTTACCTCCTGTGGACGTGGCAGCGTTGAAGGGTGGCGAGAAGCGACATTTAACGTTCCGTGACGCCTTAAATCTATCCATAAAAGGAGACTTCTCGTCTGGTATCGAGGAGAAGACGAGCAACCCAGACCACGGAAAGCAAAAACGTAGCGGAGATAGTGGTCATTGGCCACCGTGAAAACATTCGATTAACTGTGAAAAGAGATTGAGGGGAGTCTGAGAAACGGATTTCGATCTTTTCGACCTGAAACGACGGTTGCGTTCTCATCTTGATTTCTGTTCGCATTGATCAAACGATACGTTTAATGAAAGTCAGAATAGATATATAAATATAGAGGAGAATGATGATTAATTGAAATAATTGAAAAAAAAATAATTAAATTGATTTTGGACGCGCGCAGTAACATTAAAACATTTGTATCTGTTTATTGAAACGAAATTGGAAATTGGAAAAGTTGTTAGAAAATTATAGCAAAAATATATATTATAATAGAATTGAGAAATTCATAATTAGAAAAAGAAAAAAGTCAATGAAATAGAAAATTGTTTTACAAGATACACATTCTTTAAATATATTTAGGATCTTTTAATTTTATGTAAAAAAATTCTATTGTAAACAAGCGTGAACGAATAATCTTTTATTTCTTTTAATAAAATTTTACGAATACAATGGACGAGAAATATTTCTTAAATGCAAGTGTTGTTTTAGAATCATTAGAGAAATTTTGCAGATATATCCCATCGATTAATATTAACACCCTTATATACGCATAATAGATACGCGATAACAATGAAGATTCTGGAGGAGAACCAGAAAAGAATCGAATGCACTTGGCAAGAGGAAGAAACACATCATCCTTCGGTTTCTTCGCTTCGTTCGAGCAATTACAAGGGTCGTGCGTCATTCTTGCCAATTAGGCGGAGGAAATGTCGTCGAAGCGAGTGGAAAAGCCGCTGTTTCAACGTTCACTCTCTTTTCTTCCCTCTCGCTTCCCCCTTCGGTGGCTGGAAGCAGATAATTTTACTCGAGTTACCCCCTAGTTCGTGGTCTGTCATCGGTCTTGTTCCACGACATGGGCACAACTCGTTGTCTCTGTTTCTCTCGTTCGACCGTTATTGTCGATCCTTCCTTTCCATTTCAACTCACAAGCGGTACAAACCACAATTGAGCAGGTTTTTTTTTTTTTTTTTGAAAAAAAGCGTCTTCGAAATCGAAAATAATTTTGATCGAATCGCTTTTAAATTGTTGATTAAATGGATTTTGTCGTTGATACGTTAAAAACGTATAACTTATTACGTGTAATAATAGAGAAGACGATAGAAGTGTGAGATAAGGTAGAAATATAAACCGTTAAGATTTCGATGTATACAATAACGAGATCTTTAATAATGATTAAAACTTGAGTAAAACT